CATCATATTCTCTCAGTCTGGTACAGGTGGGTGATTGCTAAGGCAGAGCGGAATGACATCGGTAGAAACCTGATATTACCCAACAGCAACTTTGTCATTAGATGAGGAAGCTAAGCCGCTCGTCTCGTGAGGTGCAAAAAGTGCAATGGTTTTGATGGGTGGTGTGATATATGATATACTCGACGAGTGGTCAATAAGGGCTCGAAGGAATGTATGACCCACTACTATATTGTTTTAGTCTATGCAGGCGTCAGCAATTGCTGAAGCAAAATGTAACTATACCAATTATTGTAGACAATAGCACAACTTCGGTCATAAATACTTGATTTCGCCCATTAACACCTTGGTGATTGGATGGGGGGCGGCTGTCACCAGGGTCCCGAATTCACTTACACGGCACTACACAGCATTTGCGCAAAACCTTGGACCGCTGCGAGACGCGTGGCAGATGAATACAACTGCTAGTTGTTGGGTATTCATACGATTTCGCGTGACAATTTGAAGTAAGCTGTACGTTGTATATGTTTGCTTGATGGACACATTCCGGCTGCGATACGAAAGTGGCACTTCTTTGCACAAATTCGCAATTGATATATAGTAGACAAACATGAACAATTTAAAGAAGGTGGCGTTAAAATTCGCACAAGGCATCAGTTTGCACTTCGTAAACACTTCGTGGTACTCTGCAAAACACGAGTTTTTTGGTCTGGCTTGGGACGTTGCACGATACTCGAAGAAAATCAACTTTTTGGAGAAGAGGGCGTCAAAATTAGCGCGAGAATATTAATTTAAACTTGTGCACTTGGTAAACACCTTGTAGTCATCCGGAAGATTAAGGCCTTCACGCCTGACTTTGACACGATGGAATTCACTTCTGAGGTGCCGATAGTGTCTCATGCAGTTCGACCCTTTGATTTTACTCCATATCACTTTCGAGTTAGAATTCCAGCGATATGTAGGTGTTCTCCCGATCAAACGCTGGTGTAGGAAATTTATGCATTGTTCTTTCCTGTATAAAGTCAAACATCACTATGTGATGATGGATAGCAGAATTATACAGATGTTTGTGATTGTGTACTATGTATCGTCATATATACTCTTATCATCTTTCCTCCAGTTCACTGATGCCGTTACACTGTTGTATCGTATCGTTTGTTTCCGAGATGATGTTCTTTCTGAGCTCTCCCCTATGATACGATTGAAAATCTGCGAAGTGTAACGACTCATTAGAGACTCACAACAAAATTTCTGCTCCCAATAATCCCTGCTGAAGTTGGCGTATTTTAGGGTCTGCTGAGATATCTGTCCGAAGATAATCCCCATCGACGAAATCTTGAGAAGTGTGTCGTCTTGCATCATAAAGCCATACGCTTAACCCAACTTCTTGTAGAGGTCGAGTATCGCTTCGTCGCGTTCTGCTTGAGCAATAATTAACTGCATGCAGAACAACTGAGCAGGAAGTACGAATAATGGCGAAAAAAAGTACTTTTGATGCGTAAGATAGCACGCACAATGCCAGTTTTGCATACAATGTACCTGCAGAACGGTCTTAGCCTAGTTCTAAAGTGGAAAAGAGAGATCATACCTCTGCGATCGTCCCGATCACACATCAGTGAATTCATCAGTCCTCGATATTGTAGCCGTGTGAACTATAGACGAATATAATTTTGCGTCTGCTAAATATCACTATTTATATGCCAAAATATTGAGTTGTTGAATACATGACTATGTATACCTGCAAACGTAGACTATATTGAAGATTTCATAACGAGATCATGACTCTGCGCCATCGTACCCGGCAAGGGATAGCAGAATCTTTACATTAACTTTGTCGGGCATTTTCATCTTCGGTTATTGGTGCCTTGAGCTACAAGGCTATTGATGACTTTATCTCGGAAAGTGGCATTAGCACCGGTCATCACATCTAGATAAGCATAAAAGTTTGCAGCGAGGTTAAGGTATTGTGCTATCACTTTAAATACATCCCGCGTGTTGAGTACTCCCGTTGTCCTGGAGTAGTCTCGTTCTTCGTAACAAATGCTTTGAATTGCCAATATATTTAAAGCTATATAAGCATGGAATGGGCTTTCGCAAAAGTAGTTCACGTGACTCCCATGTGTCTCACATAATAGGCTCGCTGACAGTGTTTTACTGTGAAGGCCGAAGGCTTGAAGCACTGCGTATACAAGGACTTTCTCAAATACATGCCGGAGTAGTGCCTGAGTGCAAAATAAGGAGCCCTCTGGGCGTTGTGTGCATTAGACCCGGTGATAATTCTCACTGCTTGTAAGGAACCGTCCGAAAATTCAACGAGTATTAATTGACAAACAGCGGGACGAGAAACAACTGTATCGACAAGATTTTGAAAACAACAAACGGTTGAGATAAATTGAAATCGGTCCGGGAGACGGCGGTGGACTTTGAAACAAGCCCCCACGCCGAAAAAGGAAATCAACGTTATCGATTTCACCCCTCCGCATCGTATCGTGCAGAAATCAGTATCTCAACATCGAATCATAATCGAAAGACTTACCTGTACCATGGCACCTCAGGATGAGGTAAGAGGTCCATCGTGGTATCCGATTGTGCGCCTGACTCTGACGGTGGATCAGCGTTGCTGCGGTATCGATCGCGCGAGGAAGATAGTAGCCGAGAGGAGGGAGGCAGAGAAGGAGAGGCAGAGGGAGGCGAAGAAAATGAGGAAACGGGAGATGGAGAAAAAACGGGAGAGGGAGAGGGTAGAGGACTCGGGGAGAAGGGTTAGTGTGATGTTGAGATGGCGGCGTGGGCTGTCGAATATGTTGAAATTTTGGAAAGGGCGATCGGATTGAAGGTTAGTATCAATATCAATATCAACGCAAATCCAGCTGAGGACATCGTTAGTCACCCCCCCTCCAACCAACACAATCGACCGCGTTAGTCACCCCCCCTCCAACCAACACAATCGACCACGTTCAAGCTAACGAATAGTCACCCTGTCTCTCAAAGCAAAGTGCTGGTTCTGAAGTCGATAGATAGCGTGTGATGGTTTCAGAACTGTGTAGCGAGGGATGTTCTTCACAATAGCTTTCTTGATTGTCGCTTTTTTCAATGTCATCAGCAACCCGTTCGATTTCTTTGACAGATATACCTTCACTAGCCCCCCAGGCTTAAAACGTCCATTCTCCTCTCGCAGCCGACAACGGTGGGGACACATTGTTCACATCCCAGATATCGACTCTTAAGAAGCTCTCGCCCTCGTTTGCCGCCTTCCTGCGCACGCTCAGTTTGCTGCCTGACTGAGTAGGTGCTGCAGCTTGTGCACTAGAAGTCGTATTGAAGTTGCGCTTGAAATCTTCGACATCCATCCAAAACACCGAATTCTCTTCACAGAAGTTCGCCTTCAGGAAATCACGGAAGAGAGCGCGATATGATGGTTCTTCCAGGATATATTTGAGACGGTGCAGTGCACTCAGGGGTCGAGCAGGCTCAATTCTCGCGCTCCAACAAGCGTGGCGGCATCGTGAGACGTGAGCCAGTGGAGTTGTCCGAGAAGAGAGAAACTGGCTCGAGATCTCGGACCCCCTTCAATGTGAGCCACGGCTTCACTCCTCCTTAGTCCAGAATCGCAAACCTGCATGAATGTGTAAAAACGAACGTTGATAAAATACCAGTACGCACCTTTTAGCGGACGGACGTGCACTAGGACATCGACGTCAGGACCTATGTTCTCTGGTTGCACACATGGAGCAATGACAAACTACAGCAAAAAGTGGAACTTGTCACTCACAATGCATTGCTTGTAACAGCCGCTGCTCATCAATGAAGGGAATCCTAATGATCGCTTCCCATGCTTGCTTCTTCTCACTTAGGTCTTGCTTGAATTTGAGGGGGTAGAAATCCAATATCGGTGAATTTGCGTCGTACATTAGATCCTATGAGTGATTAGTCTAATGCACGACACAGGGCCACTCAACGTACTTGATATGCTAACGAAATGTGATCCATGCTTGCGGGCGGGAGGACGCCCATCAGTTGTTCGAAAGGCAGATATTTACCCAGCTCGAATGCGAACAACATGTCGCCAAGGCCGCATAAATCTTGAAGAAATCGTGAACGTAGTGCAATGAGGACAGAGAATGCGAAACGTACCAGATATCCGTGGTGCATAATGGTAATTGTGAAACCAGCCCCATGAGGCAATCCCGCTGTAATAGAGGGAGAGCTCCAAACTCTGGGCGAGATAAGGTGCAAATCGGCCGCCAAGTGTCACGCAATAGACAACGAGTGTGTCGAACGCTTGGCATTTCTCATCGATAGTCGAAGTGCGGATTCCAATGATATGACCATCCATCGAGATGGTCTCCCAGCCTTCTCGCGTCTCGCCGACATCGTCTTCATCATCTGTGTAGCAAGGTAAGTGGGTACCGTGACCCGAATGAATGACATTACCATAAATAGAGACATCGGCTTTTGCGCTGGCTGCATTCAGTAGTGGAGGCATGACTACAGGAAGGAACGGCTCGAACTCGATGCCGAGAGCTTGGCAAATTTTAGCCCAAGTAGCAATTAAAAAGGTGGGCAGCATGGTGTCCGAGGGATCAACAGGAGAATCTATCATACATGGTAAACGGTTATCGAGATTTGATTTGAAGGCAGTCAAGGACGAACTTTGGATTTTGATTAAAAGCTCAATAAGCGTATTTGCGTCAGTGCGGAAAACCTTACGTCCAACGGCAATTGCTGACAAGGATCAGTCAAGGAAACTTGCGCTGATATCAACTGTTTCTTACCTATTAAACCAGCACATTCCATGGCTTTCGCGCGTAGCTTGTAATGGTCAGAACTGTTGGCGTTGCGGAGAACATTTAAAAGAAGAGGCATTATGGAGGCATAGTGCTGTTGTATATGCAAGCGTCAGATAAACAATGGATATGCAAGACTGCAATATAATACCTTAGCAAATGTTGCCTCACTGGCGTCAGCGACCATAACAAGAGTTGTAATAGCTTGTTCTTGAACATAACCTTTGACTACTTTGCCATCCTCAGCTCCTGGATTGAGCATCTTGAGCAGACGCTCAACGATCGGGTCCAAATAAGGAACAAGGGTGTCACGTTCGACACCTTCACAAAAGTTGATCAGGGCAGCAGCGGCATGCGAGTGCACACTAAAATAGAGGATCAGGCGGAGGACAAGTGACAGAATCAAGGATGTAATAGTCACCGAGGTTCTGGCGCTTCTAGTGTTGGGATCAACGCAGCAAATAATTGCTCGTGGTAGCGATCTTGAATGATTTCCTTGGAGCACAAGCGTCTATGAGGATCATCGTGGCAGGGTGACTAAACTTACCTCCAAATCAGTACATAGTTGACCACTGCATCAATCATTAAGCGAGGATATCATGAGATAATAAAAGCAACGTACACGCATTGATATGCGGCATACCGGACACATGGACGTGCGTCCTTGAACATTGGAGTAATGAGGCTGGGAACACGATCAATGAAAGGGACTGGACAATAAACTGAAGAATGCGCACTTAACAACCTTCCCAAGTTCCATTTGCATCACCTAATAATAGACGAATGAGTGGGCCTAGGCTTTGCCATAAATAAACCAAATGAACCTTGTTCGTGCCTTCGGCTATGCCTGCGATAGCCATCAGGCCAGCGTGCCTCAATCTCCAGTCGTATTGGCGAGCATTGACAGAATATATTGGAACGCCGGAGGAAGTGCTGCTTTACCTCCAAGAGCACAGGCCACCCTATCGAGGGATTGCTCGAATACATGAGGATAATTCTCATCTTGTGCGTCCTCTGAGGGCTAAGATATTTGAGTTGGTGAAATACTTGGAGAAATGCACGATAAGTATCTTACATCAGCTTCGAGCCAGGAATCCAACGTGTCTTCTGGTAATTCCCCCATGCCCTCTAGAGATGCTCTTACCATAGCCGCCGTCCATCCTTCCGAACGCTTCGCCAATGCAGGCTTAGCCTCGGTAAGACTTACCATAAATTCTAATGCAGCTTTTCTGACCAACTCTTTCTCCTCGTCCTCTGTGACTTCGTCATTGCCATCTGGAGTCCGACTGCCAGATCCGCCGGGAGGGAACGTGAAACTTGATGTGCCGGGGAATGGCTTAGCAACCGTGGGTGTCGGGCCTGAGTCAACGCTTGGCATTATGAAACCACGCAAGAAAGACAGTAGGGCATCCATATGAGGCACAAAGAGATTAGGATGAGATGAGCATAATAGCGTCAGCGAGCTGAGGAAGGATTTAAGGTGAATGTCGGGAAGGGAAGGTAATGTGTCTAGCATTGAATAGAGTAGCGAGAGCGAGTGTGATAATTGAAGTTGATCACATGCAGTAAGGTAGGACACAGAGGCTTGGAGAGCAGCAAGCCGAACCTGAGCACTATCCATTAATGCAAATTAATTCGACTGGAGGACTACGTACGTCCACACTTTGAGAGTCTTGGAGACCTCTCCGGAAAACTGTCAGGACAGCATCTGTCTGGAGATCCATTACGAGATTGGGACAACCAGAAAACAGCCTAAAAGCGCATTCTCGGAAGCCAGCTTCACCTGTCTGCGTCATAGTACAGTAAGTACAGCTGTAAGGTGTATGAAAAATTGATCCGATGTTCGAATGACTTCTATATATTGAAAGACCCTTCGATCAACCTTGACCCAGAGGCCGTGGGCTGCTCCTCCGACAAGTCAGACAACCATGAACTGAAATTGAAGTCATCTAAGTCCAGAGTCTGTGTTAACTCCGTCATCTGCGGTTGCACTGTCATCTGCGGTTGCACTGTCATCGAGGGCACTCGATCACTCATTTGCACGAGCGGTGACAAAATGGAAATTGGGCGTGGTATGCTTAACTCCCCCGTCGTCACAGGTACGTAGATTGGAATCTGAGGAGGCGGAATTTTCAGCATCTTGTGCAGGGCCTGACTGCAAAAGTATGAGCATGCTATGTGTGTTCACCATAGCAAAATACTCACAGCCCATTGTGATGAAGACCCAGTAAACGCCTCTCGAATGGCTCACGATGTATATCTGTCTGAAGGGTATACGCCATCGCATTCGTAATCAAGTCCTGCTCGCCCGAATACAACTCGGTAGAGTACTGCAGCGTGTTCTTCGATGCGGAGGGTTGATCATCGGCATGCCGATCAATGACATACCTGATCTGAAGATCATACAAAAGGGGTCAACGAATGGAAACCAAAATATACTTCACTCACTGCTGTTGCTGACCCTGAGAGCATGTGAATGGTCGTGGTCGACATCAATGACCTCATCTCTCTGTCACAAAGCGGGGATTTCTTGCTTTCATACCAGTGTGCCATATGAACACCTTGGACAGCTGGATGTGCGAACACAAGCACGTCGGTAGATGTCGGAGTTTCCTGTTTGCCGTGTAGATAGTATCCGAAGGGCTGTGTTGGATCGTAGAGTTCTGCCCTTCGTTGATTCATATAAGACTTGCGGTCCTCACCGGACATCTGTGGCGGTGGTTCGAGGTTGTATAAATGCACAAATTTTTCAGCTTTTTTCACGAGCGCTCTGCGATTCTTGATTAAGGCATCGATTATACAGTCTTTGAGATATTTGCTGGGTAGCAACACTGTATTGGTGCGTATCAGTTCATGCTACAATGTGCGCAGGGGTAGTTATCAGCACGTACTACAATTGAATTTTATATTAGCCTGAGAGATGATCTCAGTGACGCGGGTGTCCATGTTGGCCTTCTCATCTTTGGTGTTTCTGATCCAACCCTCGAATACACTGTCCATAATGAGGCGCTTTTGTGCCCAATGGACAGCCAGTGTTTGTGTTGCGTCATAGTCCTTCATGCTAGGTTGGGGGACCTTTAGAGGACATTGAGGACCCTCGGCATCGCCCATCATGCTGGCCGATGCCAACGACGTGGAGGGTTTTGAGCTCGTGGTGCTACATGCATATGGACTGTATCGGGAGGAGCCTGCTTGAACAGGTGTCCCCCGCCGTGTAATACTGGCGGGATTATCAGGCTCGTATTGAATGGGTGTAAACGTCTCAGTCGATGGTTCAGAATCGTTCATGGTGAGATTGGGGAAAGAACGAACATTTACGTTGAGCTAAATAGTCGAAGATTAGTTACATACTACTGCGATTGTAAGGCTGGCCCTCAGTCACCTTGCGGTGCTAATGGTTGACTCGTGTAAACTTCGGCTATCGTATATGAACTCTCGAAGTCTTTCGAGGGTATCATGGGTGCAGGCACCGCTAGGCTGAGAGTCAGGGGGTCCGTTGATGTACGATTATGATCTTTGGAGTGTTGTTTCTGACCAATAGAAATGATGTTGACACGGTGTTAGAATCATCCTCAAAACGATCAAAGTGCGAGCATCTGACTCACCGAGCCATACGATTACAGTGCTGGCCCGCGATCAACATTTCCGACTTGGTCCGATGAGACTTAGGAATTCGATTATGCCCCTAAATCAAAGATGTGCGTTTGATATGACACACTCACCATGCGGCAGTTTAAACGAGCCTTCTCTGAGGGTGCCTTGAACTTTTCCGCCGTCTACATAACTTCCTAATCGATAGATGAACTCCCGAGCATTGACAACTTGTGTTGTAACGTATACTCGAACGCTGGCTATGTGGTTTTTCATGCTTTCGCCAAACCAAGACAATTGAACAAGCTTTTTAGTATCAGGCAGCGAGGGCATGGACAAGAACCCATGTCCTTGATAGTCGCGATTAGAGCTCTGTATAATTATGATCCAGCCGATAACTCAATAATAATATAACGTACAACGATGTCGACTCGAACAAGCGGGTGTTCTATTACATGTGTTCCGGATAGCGAATGACGACCGAATCAGTAAACCTTCAGGGCAATAGGCTGCGAACTTAACTTCGACAAGTCCAAATCTGTAGTAGTTGGATTGTGTGATACCTGTCATAGTATTAGTAAATATTCTTTGCGAAATAGTCTGACAATGCAATTCAGAATGTTGAAGCCAATACATTGAAACCGAACTACGTACAAGGCACATGATGTGGTTAAGGAGATAGTGATGAGCGCAAAATAAATTATACATCTGAGTCATCGGACTGTGGGCAGGCTGAGCTGCCACGCGATGTTGCGGCAATTACAAGTGATTCTTCATCAGATAGGCTTCTGTACCAAAGCCTGGCATTGCCAGGGCTAAACCTAGAATCTGTATTCCCTGTCGCCGTGACCCCCTGAGCCTCGAGCATATTCCGAATGGAGCCAATTTGCATGTCAACTCCACTCAACTGTGTCTGGCACAGCTCGGTTTCGTCTTCGAGGATAGACTTTATTAAATCAAGTTCACGGGAGCGAAGGCGTTGGTAGTGGATCCTCGTGGCAATAGCCTGGCGAGTTATCCGAGAGAGCTCAAGCATGCGCTGGTTGAGGTAGTTTGTAGCATCGGTGGAGGCGGCAGTAAAGTTCCACTTTGAAAAAAATGAGGATTGTACTTCCCAAAGCTATGACTCAAATGGACATACCGTTGTGTGTAAGGTCTTTAATCTCTTCGTCGGCAAGTCGCAATCCTCATCACGCATGCCATTTTGATATAAGGCATACTGAGCGGAACGCTTATGGGAATCTTGAACAAGACGTTTTCCCAAGTTGGCGCGGCTACCCCATTGGCTGTGAAATGTATGGTCATTGACAGACATAACAGGAGAGCCAGTACTTTTAGCTGGGGAGCTACTGGGTGCCACAGATGTGGGAGGTGAGGATGTCGTAGTTGATTGGGGTTGTCTGGACGTACTACGTATGAGCTCACATTGAAATGCTATAAACGCTGAGGGCGTGATTGAAAAACAAACCTGGGATTGGTGTCAGAAGAGGACAAGATATCGCTGCTCTTCGATTCAGACTCGGAGGAGCCGCTCATGGTCTCGCGGGTGACCTGTTATACAGTGAGAAGTTTGAAGAATGCTGTTGTGCACGGAACTAAGTGACCGTGCGTGAGAAAACTTACATGCTTGAGGCTCTTAGTAATATGCCCCTACCCCCACCGTATGAGCTACTTGAACATGCCGAGTGCTAGTCGTTTCTTCCCCACAATCGACCTTGGTCTTGCCAAAGGCAGGAGTATTTGAACAAAGATCGTTCAAACTGCAGACTGAACCTACCCCGAAGGATCCATCATAGTAAGTTCAGCGACTCGTGCGACTCTCAATTCCCAGTATGCCGCATCACTGAGAAACATCAACCAATGTCCAACTGGCATGTGCATCACTCCTTCTGTGGAGAGCACCCTGTTGTGGGACGCCGTTCTCTTTGTGCATAAAGGTCAGTATTCTTGATACTTACTGGTGCGCTGTCCGGTTTCATATTATTGTCAGGATACTACCAGGATTCTGTGCTGAAGTTCACCGTAACGTTTCCCAAAAACTATCGTGAATGACTCTCGACGGTACGGTTCTTGACGGACATTTCCATCCCCTGGTCGAACCCCGGACTGGAGCTTACAGTCCTGCACCGCGGTTCTGACCATGGAGGTTTGTGACCTTCTGCTATAGGTCGACTAGGAGCTAATGCGCGTGTCTAGACCCAAAGAGCATCAGATACATCATGTTCTGCATTTTGTGAAGAGCACGTTCAAGGAGCCCACTCTAGAAGGCACGATACCCTCGTCGTTTGCGATGTAGCCGCTCTCTGCTGCCACGAATGTGTTAGTCTTCAAGCTAGCTGTCTCCGCTACCGTGACCAGGTTGCAGCAAAGCAATGCTTACCTCGTATATCCTGAATTTGCCCACCAGTGTGATTGTGACTTTCATTCGTGACACTCCAGTGCACGATGATCAACGTTTTGTACATGACAGACTTTTGTCTTCAGGTACTTACATTTATTCCTAGGGACATCTATTGGTATTCATGTATGAATATATAGGACTAAAACAATTTGCGTTGTCTTCTTAGATAGATGATCTATAGATAAACACCTATAAAACAAATATCTCCACGGTCAGCGATTCAGACAAATACCAATGACTGATAACGTGGTCGTTCGTGGGTGGCTAGTTGTATACTACCCAAAGTATGTTCAGCTAAGGATACTTCTGCAAGATCAGTAATACGATGGTCAATCCAATCTTTGGACTTGACAGGAAAACAAACAAACAATGGTCAGCCCGACAGTATGGCAATGACCAAAAGAATATACGGGATTCTTCCTCAAGTTCCCTTTCAACAACAGTGCCTCGTACCAACTATACTCCAAAGAAATGGTGCAGAATTACAATGATAAACCCCCTCAGCACAAAACAGGTAGAATCAAAGGTCAAGACTAGTCAAATGCTTTATTGTAGAACTCTTAGCTCAATATTGAACCTGCTGTCAAGGAACTCTTCTT